TCTAGAAGTTAAACAAACAAAAAATTACATGGTGTATACCATGTAATTTTTTTTCACAATTTTTCTATCTTTATTTACGAAGATATGAAAAATTACGCGTATATTCCATAAAAAATATTTAAAATGTATTTTAAACGAATAATATAGTTTTAGATTTTTACGAAAAAAAAGGCAAAATGATTTGACAGTAAACATTTTTTTTTTTTTCATAATTTTTTTATTCGATTATTTACAATATGTCTTTTTAATTATGTTATTTTTAATCAAATTTCAACATGTTTAATAATATACTGTCCGTGCTCGAGGCTGCTATTTGATACAGCCAGGGGCACGGGCAGAAGTCTGAAAGAGGAAGCATAGAAGGATAGTAAAGATAAAAGTAGGTATACAAGAAAATAGGGAGGTCAACAACTCCCTATTTCTATGCGCCCTTTTTTCCAATTTGAACTTGCCAAACGTAACAGAACCCTAGTTTGTTTAGAGCGTCAAAAACTGTAAAATTATAAATCGGGTATTTACGTTTGTAGTGGACAATTTACACTTCAGACTGTGGTACATACTCGTACATTCAAAACTTTTTCTAAATCATGAGAAGGCTTCAAAACGACAGTATGAAAGAGTGTTTAATATTCCTTTTTTAAGCCTAAAAAGGATCAGTGTATTGTTCACAATATCAGCAAGCTGACTCCATTGAAAAGACATCTTTAGAAGAAAATCACAGGAAATAAAGAAAGTATGAAAGAAAGAGTTCGTGAAATTAAAAATGAAGAAAAAGAAACACTTAATAAAGATGACACCGCTGTGGCCATTTTTGATTTAGAAAAAGTTTTGAATGTACCACAGTCTGAAGTGTCAATTTTCCACTACAAACGTAAATACCCGATTAATCATTTTACAGTTTTTGACGGTCTTAACAAACTAGGGTTCTGTTACGTTTGGCAAGCTCAAATCGGAAAAAAAGGGGAACCAAATTGGGAGTTGCTTGTTTCAATTTGTCAAGACCGTACACGAAAAAGGTTTCCACGCAAATTTTTATTTTACTCTGATGGTTGTTATGGCCAGAATAAAAACAGATACATATTTGCATTGTATCTTTACATTGCAATTACTTCAAATTGACATTACCCATCGGTTTTTTATTGGGGGGCATAGCCAAAATGAAGGCGACTCCTTGCACGCATGTATTGAAAGAGCTCTGAAAAACAAAGTTTTGTACACAACGGACCAAGTAATAGTATCATCATGAACGCTAAAGTCTCCGGAGACCAATATATCCTAAAAAAATTGCAACAATCTGAAATCCTCAACATAAAAGAACTTGTTGAACCCAAAAGATGGCTTCAAGATAAGACAGGAGAAAGAGTACGATGGTCCGATGTGATGGAGGTTATTGTGTCATATAGTAAACATTACTGTTTTCTTTTCAAATATGATTTTGATCAGGATTATATTGAATTAGATTACGATGCAGGCAGAAGTAGACAGCGTCGGCAGAAACAGGTGTCCAAAACAATTGACAGTATTGAATTAAAGCCAGCATACGACAAGCCCCTCCCTATTAAAAAAGCTTTGTATAATGATCTCCTATGCCTGTGTAACTCCCAAGCAATTCCCCACCATTATCAACCATTTTATAGAAACTTAAGCTTTTGTGATATTGAATCAGGTCACGATGAGATTTCTGATTAAGATTTTTAACTGTTTTCATGATTGTGTAATCATGTGTAAATGTGTGTCTTCAGTGCAGTGTCTATTTTTTATGATAATAATAACTATCGTGTTTTGTCAAATTAACCAAAGTTGTTTCATTTACTAGAATGTCCTTTATTTCATAAAAAATACTATAATAATCATCAAATAATACTTAACTAAACCATTTGAATAAACAATAATAGTCATAACAATAAAATGTATGTTACTGTTAAACAATCGAATAACCTAATAATTGCTTTTTACAAATGTTCAGTAAACAAAACAAATTACACGAATAATAGCGCAACACGATTTTACTGCTGCCGTCGAAAACATAAATTTGCACGAACAATATCGTAAGTGTCATTACTGACCAGAGATTGACCTACTCTAATATAGTAAAATGCATCCAGCTAAATTATAACGAAGCCCTTGGGACTACTTAAATTTTGTTGAAATAACCAGATAGCTGAAAAAATTAGCTTCCATATGCGATATAAAAAGTCTCTCATACTTGTTGTTTAATGGAGTTATTAAGTAAAAATGATTTTTTATTTTTCCTGAACATTTACACTTTTACGATTACTGGATTATTCGCGGGGGGCGTCGTTCTACATAAATACTCTTGATAACATAATGCTTAATTTCGATAAAGATTAATATCACGATACATATTTAACGTAGTTTTTTTTTCTTCAGACGATTTAATAATTATTTTGAACACAAAATCGGTTATTGTGATTAAACCATGATAGCTAGATATATGTTCTCGCGGACTTTTTTGTAGGTCTTAATGGGATCTACAAACCCGTAGTACATCATTTTGTTCTATTGTCAATAGTTTTTGCAGCGCACGCAAAAATAGGTTTTCGATTTTACACCTTGTGTTACAAAATAGCAATTTTATTACGGATCCCTAATTTTGAAAAGAAAGTATAGCCTTCCTCGATAAATGGACTACCCAACACTGAAAGAATCATTCAAATCGGACCAGTAGTTCCAGAAATTAGCGCGTTCAAACAAACAAACAAACAAACTCTGCAGCTTTATAATATTAGTATAGATGAAAACTAGCAGCGATTTCACTATTCATAATAACTTTTCAATAAACTCATTAATAGACATGATTTTTTTGCTCCATCATGGTCACGTGATCGAAAACGCCTGGGATTGGCCAAGATTGAAATGATGTCACACGCTAGTAAACTTCCGGCCAAAGTGACATTACATTGCATTGTTTGACGTTCGCCTTCGCTATCCGGGCGAATGCACTGACCATTATGCTACCGCGACCCTGACGACCGTGTCGAATTTTCTTTAGCTTTAGGCTGCAAGACAGCACCATCTCTTCGCATTGTAGGTAACCCACAATGTCAAATGAATACCTTTACAGGTTTTAAACATTTGAAAGAAGAAATAACAATTATAGTTATGTTTTTATTTTTTAAGCATTTATCTGCTAGATGTTTAAATCTAAATAAAAGTTTACTAGAAAACGCGCGGACCAGGCATTAAACTGGTTAAACTGAATACAGGGTGTTACAAAAATATAACTAAAGCTTCAAGGCGTTGAAGTATATCATATAAGGAGTCTTCTCTAATTTTCTTAAAATATTTGCATGAAGTTTTGACTTTTTTATAAAAACAGTTATTTTTAATGATCCTCGCACTAGTGACGTGTCTTAAAATGATCAATATTTTTATTAATCATTAAAAATAACTGTTTTTATAAAAAGTTTAAACTTCCTGCAAATGTTTTAAGAAAATTAGAGAACACTCCTTATATGATGTACTTCATCGCCCTTCAAACTTTATTTGTATTTTTGTAACACCCTGTATAAGTATTAATTTATATGTTTTAAAGATGTTTCATCTCTATGATTTTAATTGTGTGAACAATATACTAATTTTGATTTGATTATGTTTACCCATTAAGAGAAGGCGGCGCTATTGCTAACGCCTAGCAGCAGCACACGGCAAAGTTGTACCTATGACTTGCGGCAAAGAAGTAGGCAATTGATTTCCTTGACGCACTTTCCGTCTCCTCTTGAATTACTTACACACTCACCCACTCAAGAGAGATTTTAATATTATTTGGTATGAAGTTAGCTGGCACCCTGGATTAAGACAGGCTACGTTTTACTGCGGTAAAATATCCCTAATAAACCGCGGGTAATACCGCGGGGCACAGCTAGTCTATCATATATATATTACTTATATGTGGTCGCGTGTGACGCTCGTAGCGTTTCAGCTTTCGCAGAGTTACCGTCCAACTGTCATGCTCGACAGGAAGAGCTGCGCACGCACACGCACACGCACACACACACACACACACACATATATACAGGGCGTCCCACGGCTACCTCACACGGAGGGAAAGTATATTAAATATTGAGGATAGAATATTTTTCTGAAAGGGAATCAAACTCGTGAGATTACGATAAAAAAACAACATATTTTATGATAACCATCGAAAGGGTTAATCATAAGGATTATTTTTTGCTATCTTCAATATTTAATATACTTTCCCTCCGTGTGAGGTAGCCGTGGGACGCCCAGTATATATAGTGTGTGACGCTCGTGACGCATTTCCGTTTCATCTTTTCCATAGGATATTCCCATTTACACCCCGTCCGAAAAGATGTTCCACTTGCATTGTGAATAGGTGGGAGTCATTCGTTTCGACATTTTGTATAAATTTATATTTGTATTATGAGGAGCTCGATTGCGCAAGTGGTGTAGCGCGTTCGGCTGTGATCGTTGAAGTTAAGCAACTTTCGCAGTGGTCGGTCATTGGATGGGTGACCAAAAAAATTACTATCTCGAGCTCCTTCGTGCTTCGGAAGGCACTTTAAGCCGTTGGTCCCGGCTGCATCTGCAGTCGTTAGCACCCACCAATCCGCACTGGGCCCGCGTGGTGGGTCATGGTCCAATCTCCATATTGACGACCTCCGTGGCCGAGTGGTTTGTACGCCGGGTTTCATGGTGTCACCGGCTCGAGAGGTCCCGGGTTCGAATCCCGGTGGGGGCAGATGTTTGTGTGATGAATTAGAGAATTTGTACTCCAGTCATGGATGTTTAATATGTATTTCTATATAAATATACTTATATATGTAAAGTATATGTATTATATCCGTTACCCTAGCATCCCATAACACAAGCCTTACAGTGCTTACTTCGAGGCTAGACTAATTGGTGTGTTTAAAAAAAAATATTCCATCCATAGGGAAGGCCTGTGCCCCAGCAGTGGGGACATTAATAGGCTGATGATGATGAAGATGATATTTGTATTGTTCATGAAAATAAAGGTGACGATAAAGATTCGCCCCGTCCCGGCGGTGACCCGGTACGGCTCGCTGGTGTTCCCGGACTGGGAATCGGGATTCCACTTCGAAAGGGAGGTGGCTCGGAGAAGGATGCAGCCTTCAAGTATAAGGCTTATGGACAACGAACAGGTGAATACTGTTCCAGCTGTAGATAATACTTAGTTTTACAAAATATATTATGTGATAAGAGATAATTATAATAAGACGCGTTTTTGGTTGAGAAATCGTTTTAAACGGGTTTTACTGTATTATGTTATAAGAGATATCTAAAGAAAATTTTGCTTGAAAATATTCCACGCGGTCCAAGCATCAGACGGGACTCGACCCCGCACCCTCCGCTATCCAGGCGGATACTCTGACTCTGACCAATTATGCTTATGCGACTTCAATGAACGCGTGAGTTTTTTTGAGTATAATGCGATTCAAATAAGAATAGGAAAGCCAATGACCTCCATCTGTTAAATGTCACTTGAAAAGTACAGTTTGCAAAAAAATCTCGAAACACTTTTTTAGCACTCAGCTGATTCTAGAATAAAAATCAAACATTTTTAAACAAACAATAACAAATGTTGATAATTAATATTATTTGTTTTCTTTTTTACTTATTGAGTATTGGCTATGAATGGTTGGTAACCTAAATCGTCAACCAAATGTCACTTTATGTTGCGTTCAGAAACTCGATTTAATACTTTCGTTTACATATAGGATGCATGTTCGTATGTGACCTGCATGATTATTCATAACTTCTCCGGCGGTAATGCAGAGATGAGCGAAATTAAAGAGCTAGATTCATATTAATGTTTTTTTTTCACACAGTCTTAATAAAGGAATAGTATTAAAATCTTTTGTGTTCTTTCTCAACCTTATTAAATTAATTTTATTAAAAAAATCTGATGTTTTGTCTCACTTAATCTCAGTAAATAAGTTTTATTAAATAGCAAAATTTTTTTGCTCACTCTACTTAATTGGTTTGAATTGACAGTCATGACGTCAAAATATGGCGCCTAGTCAGTCCTATTCTTAGTTGAATCGCATTATAAAGTTTATAGATTTAATCATCTAACAACAAGATTAAAACAAAAAGGGAAGATGCGGTACGCTCATACTAGCATCAAATTGTCGAAATTTTTTACCACGTACGACAAAACTGTGGAATATGTTGTCGCCAGCAGTGTTTCCGGACCGATACGACCCAAAAACCTTCAAAAAAAGAGCGTACTCCTTCCTTAAAGGCCGGCATCGCATTTGTGATACTCCTGGTGTTGCAAGTGTCCATGGGCGACGGTGATCACTTACCATCAGGTGAGCCGTCTGCTCGTATGCCCCCTATAACATAAAATAAATAATAAATAAATAAAATATGCTCCGACTTAACTACATAAGCAACTCTCGCACACGCATATTTTTGTACATAAACATTCAATCGAGCGAGCAAGACAACTGTACGCTTCAACGCAGCGCGAGCGAAACGGAGAGTCCGCGTCGCTTGGCAACCGACTAAGGGTGTATTCCGAAATATACATCAGTATACTGGCCAGTGGTAATGGCGTCACGAATCCGACGCCGACGACATATTGTACTGGTAGGGTACGGCCAGAGTGCACTCAGATTCAGATTCAGACTCAGAAAACAAGCGCGAGAAATAAACAATGTAGTTAAAGCAGGGCGGCCATAGTGGCAGCAGGCAGCCTGCTTAAGCTACACTGTATATTTCTCGCGCTTGTTTTCTGAGTCTGAATCTGAATCTGAGTGCACTCTGGCCGTACCCGTATGCTACCATATTTTTACCGGGAAAACGAATATGACGTATGACCGAGCGTGCGTGAGATGCATTTGGGTTTTTTCTTTTTTATTTAAAGAACAATAACGGCATCCGAACAAAAACAATTCCTTTTAATTGATGAGGTGAATAAAAAATCTTCTTTATTCACACTATTTTTAATATTTCGTCGATTTATGACGGCAGTGCACTGGCCAGTATATTTCGGAACAATTCACCAGTATAGCGTCGATGCATGATGTCATTAGCACTGGCCAGTATACTGGTATGTATTACGGAATACACCCTAAGTTTGTTTTTTTCTCTCTACAAACGGCAAACGGCTGAGCTGTATTGTTGTCCTTTTCTTAATAACAAATGGCGAATAAGTAAATAATATTCAGGACAAAACGTGCTTTTTGGTAAAAAATGCTTTTTATAGTTTTACGAATGAGAAGTGTTGCCGTGAAATTTGATATTTGATCTTGAACAATTTGAGTTCTTTATAAAAGCATCGAAGGCATTGTTTTATTTTTATAACACAGAATATACGCATTATTGTTATATTGAGTACACATGCAGCGTGTTTGGGTGTCAGATTGTGACTAAAGCGAATTGACAATGCAATTCAATTCAAAATTGATTCGTTCCTGGGGGCCAATCGCCTAACGGAAATGCTTTGGAAAACGCTAACGCTTACGATTTTATTTTGTTATTTCTAGCCGCCTGAGGTATTCAAATGCCTCGCGCTCTTTCTTTTTCTTTTGCATTGGTAATAACAATATTAAAAAAAATGAGCGTGATGTTTTCGAAAACCTCAGGCGGCTAGAAATAACAATATAAAATCGTAAGCGTTAGCGTTTCCCAAAGCATTTCCGTTAGGCGATTGGCCCCCTGGGGTGGGGTCGTTCTAGACGAGTTGAAGAGGGTCATCAACGATATTAAATACCCTAGACACACCAACACGAACAAAATCGTGCCCAAAACATGTCCAAAAGGTACATTGAATAATCCACGGAGCTCCGTAACATGATTGCGTAGTCAAAATCAATATAAGGCATTGTTTAAATATTGAAAGTAACCTTTAATACATATATTATAAGGTCTTAAATAAAACGCAGGCGACAAGGACTTCTGTCAGTTCGAAATGCAAGCTCGTAAAATTTTACGACTTATTGCTATATGCGGAAGAATTTACACCTTAGTTCTTTGACACTACGCGCAATTCTGAACGCGCTGATAGCAATATAGCAGGCACAGACCGCGAGGAAAAGAGACGGCTATATGGCGACGTATAACCGACCATGCATTTGAATATCACAAATATTTTATATTAAATCAGTTTATAGTAAGTATCAGATCAAAATTTACTTCAAATGCATTAAATTAACAAACTAAATATGTCGAAAAACGACACTTTTCGTACTCTCAAGTATTATTTTCGCATTTTTTCGCGGAGCTCTGTGGCATTTTGACTTTGTAACGGTCCGCGCGTGACTGTGAACCAAGAAGTGCTTGAGTGGAGTTCAAGCTCTTCTTGATTGGGACACATTTTGAGCGCTCCTAGTGTATCTAGGGTATTTAGTATTGCACAAAGCTCTGCATATTTATTTACTCTCCCAATTTCTTTTTGTGTTATTTGCCTCTGGTGAAGAGCTCTCATACTTTTATAGCAAAGAATGTGTCGGCAATAACTTTGCAAACTTATTTTCTTCAGTTCCGCTTCGGACAAGCCCTGAAGACCGAATCGTCTTGGGGTGGGGTTCTCCTAGACGGGTTGAAGCGGGCATACATTACTCGCATCAAAGGATTCGATCCTACCAAACTCTGCGTGGTGACTCTCCTCATGGAAGGCGAGGCGGATCAAGTGGCTTCTTCCTATGCTGGATTACGCCAAATTGCCGCACAATACGGGGGAATCCCCGCCGGCGCTGAGAACGGGGAGAGGGGATATACGCTGACGTTCGTCATCGCTTATCTGAGGGTGAGTTGACCGGTTTTGGTCTTGTATTTTTTGCATTATAGCATACTACTGTATGAGATAGGGCTGCCATCCGTCCGGGTTTCCCCGGATTTGTCCTAGTTTACGGGGCGTCCGGGGAGCGTCCGGGCGGGGTTTTATTTGTAGTCCGGGTTTAAAAATTTACGGCAACGCATGAGTGGCCCTTGTTGCTGCAAGTGTCCATGGGCAGCAGAGACCACTTATTATGAGGTAGACCGCTAACTCTTTTGCCTAGATCAAGATAAAAAAGTTGATTTGTGACATTTTTAACTATTTTTTTATTGGTCTGTCCGGGTTCTGGGCTCCAAAATCCGGGGTTATCACGCGTCTTATCCTGGTTACCATATTTTAGAGATGGCAGCCCTAGTATGACACAGCAATCAAAATGCAGTTGAACAATTAATGTATAATTTCACATAATGTAATGAAAGGTGACTTCATGAATCATTTCTGAAGTATTATATTTAATATGAATTGCTATTGCGAAACCTTTCTGTTATTGGCGTCTGATCAATAATGCAACTTACACACACATTACACTTATGCTGCGGTAAAAACTCAACATATTACAAAGTACTATTGTACGGGACGCCGGGCTGTCGCAGTAGCGGACAGTTACCGACTCGTACTGAGGGGGTGGAGGAAGTTACACGCAGGAGTCTTGACTGTAGTGGACTGTAGTTTCGGCGAATAAAACCCCTGGTGTTCGGTATTGAAGAAATCGGTGGGCGCTGATAATGGATGGCCGGTGAGAGGAGGCTTCAGGTCCAGAGTGAACCGCTTGGTTGTTTCTTCCTGTTCCTTAGGGTAGGAGCGCCTGTCGCTGAATGCATGTCGGGGCATGTTCCGACTCGAATTTTATATGCTAGGACTGAGCTGGCCAGCGATCCATTACCTCACCCACGCTATACTTTATTTTTCATTTTCTCAAAAATTACAATAGTGCGAGCTTAAAACTAATTGTACATACGTCGGGCATACATTTAGGCATATTTTTAACACAGTTATGTGTCCGTAAACACGATATTTTAGGTGTGGCGCGCAAAAAATAGGTCTCCGCAATATTTATACTTTCCCCCTCCATAGGGCTTCGCCCTGCCACGGGGCTTCGCTGCCCCACCCGCGTGCTCCGGGCGCGCCGGGTGGGGAGCGCAACATGTCTCAGAAAACGGTTCTATACAAACATGTTTTGTCTCCTACACGGTACATTTTTACACTTATTGATGTGATACCTATTTATTTACGTAGCCCTACGTGTTACCTATCTAATACAACAAGTTTCTTACAAGAATATCAATAAACAACAGCTCTACGGCCCTATAAAGTTTACAAATTAAAAAGTCTCAAAAAACCTACTTATATTCACTTAATGTCTAACTATCTTATACCGTTTTATAGAAGAAGTAAAAACACACAAAATAACATCATTATTATAACAATTATACCTATATCCTATTGACTATTCGTAAAAAACTATTCCCAATATTTTCCTTAATTACGCTTAAACTACTAACACGATTCATACAAAACTTCGATATATTATTCCTATGACTACCTACTTTCTAATAAGACATAAGATAAATCAATCAAAACATAAAACATACTATTATCGAAAACTGTCAACTCAGGCAAAATCCTATAAGATGTGAGACAAGGACAACCTATTGTCTCCGTCCCTCCTATAGGTCGGAACTATCAGTATTCTGACTAGTTTCCCCGCGCCACCGCTTGGCGTCGTGGCGATCGTTTAGATAAAGTCTTATAAGATTATTGGAGAGAACGGGGCGGAATATCGCTCTGAACTATCAATTTTACAATGGTTTACTATGGGCAGAGCTATCTATTGTTGCGATATCCGACTCATTCTAATAAGACAACAAGGGAATGATATTTTTAATGCGTATACAACCGATTCATGTGAAATTATAGATACATTTTTATACATTGTTCTCGTATTGTCGTAAGTTCATTTTCTCTCGCTTCGGTCGTCGCGTACAACTATATTAATTTATTCATATAAAGACAATTAAAAATTCAATGAACTTCGGATACTTCATCGAAATTTTCTAATGCTCAATTAAAGTAAATATGTAAAAACAAACATTATTCTGACTACGCAGCCTGGCAAGGATGCGAAACGTGAAGAAACAAATAAATTAACGCATTTAATTAAACTGCTGAAGCTTTGTTTTATTTAATGAGTAATGTGCGTGGAAACCTAAGAACCAAAATTTTGTAATACAGGACGTGGCAATGGAATACGACGTGGTGGCGGAATCGTTCGAGACCTCAGTGCCGTGGGACCGCACCCTGGCGCTCTGCGCGAACGTTAAGACGCGCGTCAGGGAGGAATGCCAGCGACGGAACATAACGCACTATCTGATCTCCTGTCGGCTCACGCAAACGTAAGAATTTTAATTATAGTTATGATTTTATTTATTTTTAAGCATTTAACCCCTAGATGTTTAAATCTAAAGAAAAGTTTACTAAAAAAAAATCCACGCAGACCAGGCAGCGGACAGACGAAAATAAATAAAATCATAACTATAATTGCTATTTCTTCTTTCAAATGTTAAATACTTGAAAAAGTATTCATTTGACATTGTGGGCTACCTACAATGCGAAGAGATGGCGCTGCCTTGCAGCTTAACGCTAGGAAAATTTCGACGCGGCTAATAGGGCCGTGGTAGCGTAATGGTCAGTGCATTCGCCCGGATTGCGAAGGATGCGGGTTCGAGTCCCGTCCGCTGCCTGGTCCGCGTGGCTTTTTTTCTAGTAAACTTTATTTTAATTGTATTGTTACGTGTCGGGATGGGGTTCGAAATTATATGCCAGTTCACGCTTGACAGTTCTTTATTCACCACACAGTTCAGACAATAGGGGTGATGACGGGGTACAGTAAACGAAATTCTATTTAGTCCGTCAGTTAGATGATCAAAAAATAATGGACACGTATTTTTTCTTTGGGCGATCAACCAAAAAATGACAAAGTTATAGCGCGTCAAAGTTTGGGAGTAGGGGCTCGTGACGTCACTTTTGAGTGAATTTTCCCTTATAAGTGTACTCAAAGGTGACGTCATGCGACTTTTCAAATCAATATATCTCTGCAATGTTTATATTATGAGAAAAAAGAAAAAATACGTCTCCAATACTTTTTTATAATCTACCTAATAAACGAAGAAGAAAAAATTAGTCATCATCCCTATTAACACACAAAACACTGACTAACACATTTCACTATACACGTCTCTAAACTATCGCACTGGAATACTTTCGTTGCACTTTGATCGTCTTTGGATTCGCTCCGAAATCGCTGTTGAAACTCAACTGTCTCTGCGCGGCGCCAATAGGGATGATGACTAATTTTTTTTTCTTCATTTATCAGGTAGATTATCAAAAAGTATTGGACACGTATTTTTTCTTTTTTCACATAATTAATATAAACATTTCAGAGATATATATTGATTTGAAAAGTCGCATGACGTCACGTTTGAGTACACTTTTAAGTGAAAATTCACTAAAAAGTGACGTCACGAGCCCCTACTCCCAAACTTTGACGCGCTATAACTTTGTCATTTTTTGGTTGATTGCCCAAAGAAAAAATACGTGTCCATTATTTTTTGATCATCTAACTGACGGACTTAATAGAATTTCGTTTACTGTACCCCGTCATTTCCCTATTATATAACTAAGTAGGCAATGACTCTACCCCACAGAAGAGGTTCGAAGAGCCTTATGGGCGAGCCAGGCGCTCCACGATTATCTGTGAGAAAATTCTCATAACTTGAACAAATCTTAGTTCTGATTGCGTCGTTGCTCCTGGATGTCGCGTCGTTTGATTGGCTATTATCTATTACCTGTGTTCCAAACCTGGGGGTAATTACCCCTCCGTGGGTAAATCAGTCATACTTCGGGGGTAACAAGAACCTAATTATTTGTTCAAATCTAAATAATAAGAAAATACTATATAATAATACTACTAAATAGAGCATGCGCTCTTTCTTGCGGGGCGAGATTTTCTCCTGATGATGACATTATTAGAGATGAAGATGTAGGGGCCAAATTGGAATTTCTTGGACTGATGATAACATTTTAAAGTCGAAGTAAAATCTGTTTTCCTAATAGGTTACAGGGGTAGCAGTATTGGAAAGGTTAGGAAACACTGATCTATTAGATGGAAATTTAGTGGGGGCGAGCCGGTAGACAAGATTTCCTTTCTCACTCTCGGCTAGCTTGAGTAACCCAAGCTATCCCTGTCGAAATAAATTAATTTGAATTGAATTATTTCCTGAACTATTTGTTTTGAAAATTATTTCAAGATATTTTGGGAGTTTTCTTTACATTTAAGTCTCGATGACACTAGACCGAGTTCGCTAGTAGCTCGCCCCGTATCATTGAGTAGCAGGGGCCCATTCACCTAACTGAAATGCTTTGGAAAACGCTAACGCTTACGATTTCATTTTGTTATTTCTAGCCGCCTGTTTTCAAATGCCTCGCACTCTTTTTTTTTTCTTTTGCATTGGTAATAACAATATTAAAAAAATATTGCGTCAGGTATTTGAAAACCTTCGGCGGTTCCGTAACTCGCCCCGTGTCATCGAGGCTTTAATATTAGTAAATTCGTTGATTGTTTATTGTTACCTATCTCGACATTATGTGATGGAAGTTGACCCCAATACATGTTTGCAAGTTTGATGTCGGCTTTCAATTTGAGGACACCAAGGGTGGATCCAGCTTTGGCGCCAGGGGGGGGTCATATAGTCGTGGTATATTAAATATTGAAAGTACTTAAATAAAATCCCCCTGGGTTTGGTCCATCTGTACCCAGCCCAGGGGGGGTCATGACCCCCATGACCCCCCCCCCCCTGGATCCGCCCTTGGACGACACTGTATGAAATAAAACAGGGAGAAAAAGCAGCCCTTGCCGCGTTTCATGCCGGTTCTTCTCAGCACAAAGTCTCCCGCCGTAATAGGGTAATTGACAGTATTAAAAATAAAGTGCACATTGTTAGCATCTGTGTTTAGAATGAATATTGGCAGGGGTTTTTACTATTTTTTAAAAAAAAATCGTAATATTCGTACGTTATTTTACTAAAAACCCACGAAAAAGATAATAGTTTTCTTATGTATTGTCACGTGACCGAAAACGCTTGGGATTGGCGAAGCCTCAAATGACGTCACACGCAAGTAAACTTCCGGTTAAAGTGACATTACATTGTATCGTTTGACGTTTTAATAACAGTCGTGTGACGTCACACACTAGTAAGACGCCATATTGTCCAGAAAAACGTTTTCGCGGCAACTTGAAAATGGAGTTTTCGATTTGGTTATTTTTACTGAAATACACAACAGAATGATGAATATCCACTTTTTACGGACTCCATAAACATTAGTCAATAACGTGAGATCGTTTTCTAAAACTTGTCAAATAGGTACCCTATTTTGCGAACTGATGTCAGCGTGAAACGCCATAACTGAATAAACGATTGTTGAATTTTAAAGTTGAACTCAATCACTTACACAGGTACGACGCCGGGTGCTGCATTTATTTCTACTTTGCTCACAATACGTCGCAGTGCTGTGACCCCGTCGCCACCTACGAGGAAATAGAAGAAGCGGCGAGGGATGAAATCATCGCTTCCGGTGGTACGTTTATTTATACAAATCTTTTTCAAGTTTTTCAAAGAGGGCATAGGTCTTTTTATTAATATTTTAATATAACTTTGATTTATAGTTGATGCGAAAACGTGATGATATAAAAAGATAATTAAAAATAACCCTGTCTGCGCGTCGCGCTTCGCGCTCTTGCATTGCGCAGCCGGGTAAAAAGTATTGAATTTGACTTCAGTAGTTTTTTTTTCTTTATGTTGGCAAAAGATTTTTTCTTGAACGGACGGCTATGTAGTACTGTGAAAAAAATTTTATGTTTTGTTGTTTGTTGAAAATGTAAAGTCGGGTTCCTAGTGTAAATTAAGTACTTACCCAAATTTTGTTACCTACTATATAAACTTATATATCTATTGAATAATAAAGTAACATTTTCAACATAAAAGCAACTTATTATTATTTTATGAATATACTAGCGGCCCGCCCTCGCTTCGCTTTGGTGTAGCGCTGAAGTGTAGACTACAGTTTTTGTTCTCAGGCGTGTATTATACACAATGACATTCATCTATGATTCTTCTTATACCTGCATGCAAAGTCTCAGCCCGATCGGTTTAAAATTGACAAAGTTTCATACAAACTTTCATTCCCTATTTTATCTCCTTGGGGGTAGAATTGATCAAAATCCTTTCTTAGCCTATGCCTACGTCTTAACATCTACCTGCATGCCAAATTTCAGCCCGATCCGTCCAGTGGTCTGGGCTGTGCGTTGATAGATCACTATGTCAGTCAGTCAGTCACCTTTGAGTTTTATATACCTATATAGAGATTGGATTGACTATTTTCTACCTGTATAAATTCAACTTTTGTTGTTCCTCTCTCGCTTCACAGGTTCAATATCCCACCACCATGGGGTTGGAAAGCTTCGCAAGAAATGGTACACGGACACTGTGAGTGAACCCGGTCGTTTGTTACTGCTAGCGGCCAAAAAAGCTTTGGATCCCGACAACATATTTGCTTTAGGAAACATGGCCTTCGAAGAGGGAAACGCCACAGAAAATTTATCAATTAAAAGTAAATTATAAATGCTTAATGTAAAATTCACTTTTTATACTTTGTCTAAGTAATGTAAATAAAATCTTTCCCTTCTTAGTGCAATATTAGCTGCGAATTTGTGTATTCGAACTAGAATAATCATTACGTAGGTACTTTTGTAAAAAAACACTACTATTTTGTATGACGAGGTACACAGTAAACGAAATTCTATTTAGTCCGTCAGTTAGATGATCAAAAAATAATGGACACGTATTTTTTCTTTGAGCTATCAACCAAAAAATGACAAAGTTATAGCGCGTCAAAGTTTGTGAGTAGGGACTCGTGACGTCACTTTTAAGTAAAAATTGTACCAAAACGTGACGTCGTTTGACTTTTCAAATCAATATATATCTGCAATGTTTATATTACGTGAAAAAATAATAAAATACGTGTCGAATACTTTTTGAAATCTACCTGATAAACGAAGAAAAAAAATAGTCATCATCCCTATGTCTAAGGCCGTATACAGAAAGAAAGCCGAAAGCCAATCAGCGCCGAGCAGCGCTTATCGGCGCTGATCCTTTTTCTATGGACCAGCGCCGATAAGCGCCGATCAGTGCCGATAAACGCCGACAAATGCCGACACGCGCTAGTCAGCTGGTCATTATGATCTATGTTGTCCGATTAATAAATAATTTGTATTTGAATTATTATCCTTAGATTAAATCAATCTAAGTTATAATCTTTTAATAAATCTAATAACTTTATCTTGTATTAACTAAGCGCTACAGTTATTTGTTTCGTACTTACCGAATGGTGACAACAAGTCTTTCTTCTGGAAGTATTGGTTGTTTATGCCAATTACACCAATTTTTCATCAAACGGTTTTTCATTAAATCCAAAATGTAATAAAATGTTTCTTGAGTCATTCTTGTATTATGTATAAAATCTTGGAACATCAAATTTTTTTTTTTTTACAAATAAATGATGGTTTTCTCCTAAACGTTTCCTTTCTCTATTTATAGAATGTATAGCTTTTTTCCGCATTTTTAAATACACATTTTCTAACAAAACTAAATCGTCGTCAGATGAACCCGACATTTTGCTTGCTCTGCTTCCTTTATGTAGTAAGGATCGGCGATAAGCGCTGATCGGCTTTCTTTCTGTATACGGCCTAAGAATAGGGGTGATGACGAGGTACAGTAAACGAAATTCTATTTGGTCCGTCAGTTAGATTATCAAAAAATAATGGACACGTATTTTTTCTTTGGGCAATCAACCAAAAAAATGACATAGTTATAGCGCGTCAAAGTTTGGGACTAGAGGCTCGTGACGTCACTTTTGAGTGAATTTTCACTTATGAGTGTACTCAAACGTGACGTCATGCGACTTTTCAAATCAATATATCTCTGCAATGTTTATATTATGTGGAAAAAGAAAATACGTGTCCAATACTTTTTGATAATCTATATGATAAACGAAGAAATAAAAATTAGTCATCATCCCTTTATGATAAAATTATCACTTGCTTTTCACACTTTATGTGCCATTTGACGTTGCCATTGATTTAACACGCAATTTATTTAAAGGTGCCAAAATAATTCAGCTTCGGGTGGCAATGTCTTATTTTGATATGTAAGATGTTGACACTACTTTAATTATTTATTTATTAAACTGCCCAATACATCACTTATTAGAACGATAAGATTACGCTTATAATTCAGTTTTTTTAATTAACTATCTCGGTATCTAGAAGACAATACACCATATTGATCATAGCTTCTTAAACACTAAACCATCATTATGAGTTAACTAGTTTATTAAGAATTAAAGCAGAATAATTGTAATTTCTAATACAAAGCCCTGTATTTGACTGACCAATGAGAAGGAAGGTAAGGTAAGTACCTCTATGTACATACTTACCTTGCAAAATAATATTAAGGAGATAAACGTTTTAGAGACACAATTTGTTATGACAGACTTAATTTCAGTCCGTTGATAATTTGAACAAGTAATTTGCCATAATTTTAAATTGTTATGTCAAATCTTTATTGACATCACAAAGAATGTTTAATTGGTAGTAGTGGGTACTTAATTTTGTGGTTGTTAAATTATATTTAAATGACTGTATATTTGTTCGTTTTTGTTTTGTTGAATTTATTTGTTTGTGTACTAGTTAACTGAATTTCTTAATACAAATTAAGTAAATACAAAAAGAAGTCTATTTGAATAAGTTTTCATTTAAATTACTCAAAAAAAATGTTTGATGTCAATATTTGTAAATTAAAAAAAGTATTATAAATTAAATTACTTTTAATCATTATTTTAAACATTACACAAAATTGCTCAAAATTTTATATTTTATAAAATATTTAATGATAAACTTAAATTGTTTTAATAATTTATTACATTCCTTTTTTGTGCTGTATATTTATTTAATATTTATAAAGGCCCTGTCTTATTTGAAATATGACAGAAAATATGAATGAATAACAAATGAATTAAAAAGGTATAATTTCAGAAATAAAAAGGTTTGATATGTGAAACGTGTTTTTTTTTATTAATAAAAGCGTCGATGAAATGAAAGCTTTACTTGCTAATTGATACAAGCTATTTAACGAAGTTTGGGCAACAACGACAGCCTTCTGATCCTGAGTGCTGGGTTTGAGCCCCGGTAAAGACATTTATACGTACTAAAGAAAAGCATAAAAAAGAGGTATGAAGTAAAATCTATTTAAGATAAAATAAATTGTAGTTTTGGTACACCTCTATTACTCAAGAAATTGCTAGACTGCTTAGACCAAAATGTATTAAATTTAAATGTAATACATTATGCAGGGCGTCAAAATTAAGTAGGTACTCCAACTTGTCAGTAAAGTTAAAGTTTTCATTATTCGATAGTTATATTTGAATATTAAACTAGTTGATTTGAAACTCATTCGTATTTTTGAATAGTTTTGATCTAAGCCATATTATATACGCCTCTTTTGTATGGTAAAGTTTCTGGAGGAATAACGAACCAGACGTATGATTTAGCGACACATAAAGACCGAAAATAAGGATTGTTTAAATAAATGAAACTTATTATTATACTGTAAAATAAAATCGTTCATTATTATTAGAAACACTAACATGAAATAAAAAGCTCTCGAACTTAATCTTTCTCCTTTTATGCCTACAATAAGCCTCTTTTACCAGAGAAATCTATTAGCGGTATGATTATACGTCTTTGTTTTATAGAATTATTCACAAACTACTTTTTTTTAATAATATAAAGATTTGTGTGTTTGTGGGTACTTGAAAGACGAATAAAATAGTAAAATACAAAATAATATTTTTTACGCATTTATTGCATGAGATCCGCGATACTATTCAAATATTCTTAAGAAACACGCAGTATTAATCAGTCGTGCATTTCTGCATGTTTATAAGTTCACGACAATAGAATAACCTTAGATTAAAACAACAACAAAACCCTTTTTGTTTTAATCTAAGGGAATAACACATAAAAATAATATTTCAGTTTTCCTTAATATAATTTTTAAATTTATTAATTTTAATGTAGGGTCCAAATACTCCAAATTAATAGATAGTTTCAATTCCTGTAACATTTTCATTTTCCGTCACTTCCGGTAGTCAAACTTTTTAACGTCAACCGGCATATCAACGTGATATTTTCCATACGAAAATTAAAACAATTTAATTGAATCGGTTCTGATTAAATAATTTCTCTATTACATCAGTGTAGTGCAGGGTCATATTTAAACAAACATGATAGACTTATTCATGCCCTTTCGGGCATTTTTGAAGTACGAGAATGTTTGTACGGACAACAACATTTTTCGGATGCACTACAAAGCGACAGTGATAATGCTTCTGGTGTTCACATTGTTGGTGACTTCGAAGCAGTTCTTCGGCGAGCCCATTCACTGCATGAGCGAAACCGAGAAAGATACCGACAAGGATGCCATCAACAGTTATTGCTGGATTTACGGAACTTACACCTTGAAAAGCCGCTTAAGTGGTAAGTACTATCAATACTTATCATCCTAGAACTTACGTCGTACGAACTTATCAGTTGTACTATAAACTATGTGAAACCAGTGGACAATGCTCATTTTCTTTCTTCATAGAAAGGGATTTTAGTACCTTATTAATTACACTAGTTTACAAAAATTAACTTTTTGTATGTTGCTATAAATTTTGTGGCTGCTGTTGTACACTTAAGACATGTGTTTTCAAAAATTTTCGTGCACACAATTTTTTTTCGGTTTTAACTTTCACATGTGCATATTTATTCGATAATAGCATGGGTGTTTCAGTGGGTACATATGAATTTCAGGAAATTTTGCGACATTAATGGTTCTAGGAGAAGTTGTTTAAAGTAACCCAAATCATTATTGATACATAATATGTGGATAATATGTAATATATAGAAAAGTTTTTGTAGAATACATTAAAAAAAATCTGCACTTTAATTTTGAATCAAGACTTGATTTTCCTACATTTTCCATAAATTCCCTCAGCTCTCTCCAGAATTTTCCCAATTCAGACAACTCTCAAGAATTCCATGATTGAGCTTGAATTAGGGCATGAACAGCTTTCGTATCGGTTAGGCAAGTTTTTTTTAAAAATGCAAAACCCAACTTTTAAAAGATCTCCTTTTATAACTAAAAACTAGGATGCAATATAAGCACAAAACTCCACTTCTTATATAGTTACCTAGACAGGTTTCCAGAAAATATAGAAGATATGAACTAAGAATAGGAGCAGCATATGCATCTAGGTTTACTTACATCATAGAGTAGTGTTATCAGGGTTTCACTTCTCTTAGGCCCATATTACAGAATGACAACTAAGTGTTGATCTTCACTTAAGTACAGTTAAAAAGGGATGTCGTTATGTGCTATATATAGCGACATCGCTTTCTAACTATGCTCAAGACTAGATCATACACTGAGAATCTTTCTATAATACCGGCGTTAGTCCATATAAAAGAGAAGAGCTTTAAAGATAAGTTTTTTGGTAGTCAATGACTGTTTTTTGTTCTAGATAATTACCTTACATGTACCTTTTTTGTTTTAAACTAAAGCAGTACCTCAAACTTATAAACTAGAGCTAATAAAAAAATCTACCTACATATTTGTAACTACCATAACTTATATAGTAAGCAACAGCAAAAAAAATATTGGTAATAGTGGCACTGTAAACTAGTGTTATTAGGTATAACATTGGTTATGATTTTATTTATTTTTTAAGCATTTAACTGCTAGATGTTTCTAAAGAAATCTAAAGAAAAGTTTACTAAAAAAAATCCACGCAGACCAGGCAGCGGACGGGACTCGAACCTGCATCCTTCGCTATCCGGGCGAATGCACTGACCATTATGCTACCACGGCCCTAATGGTCAGTGCATTCGCCCAGATAGCGAAGGTTGCGGGTTCGAGTCCCGTCCGCTGCCTGGTCTGCGTGGATTTTTTTATAACATTGGTGTCGATTCTGACATGATTCTCTAAACCTAAACCTAATTTTGACAACAGTGCATCCTTATCATACTCTATACAGAATGAAAAGGAGAGACTGGTGTTAAATTTAGTTTTAAGTTTAGAGAATCATGCCGTAATCAACACCATTGACCTGTAAACCTGTAATTTTGAATAAAAAACAAAATTAAGTTTATATAACAAATGCAAAAAAGAAGCTGTGATTAGTGTTGTTTCATACTTAATACAGGAAAGAATATGGCATATCCTGGAGTGGGACCCTTAAAACTTGAGGATGATGAAGAGATCAAACATACTTATTACCAGTGGGTTTGCTTTGTACTTTTGGGGCAGGCGGTAATGTTTTATACCCCTCGCTACTTGTGGAAGATCTGGGAAGGGGGACGGCTTAAGGTTTTGGCTTCAGACTTGCGTAAGTAAAATTATGAATTACACAGTAAAGCACAATTTAATTTAAATTTAAGATCATGTAGGTAGACACAAACCAAAGTTTCAGGTATCAAAAAAACTTTTTGATTTGTGCTAAAACAATAGTTTGCTATTTAAATTGAATGAGAAACTTAATTATTAGATAAATATATTTTCATAGGTAAAACTTACAAGAATCCACAATATATTTAATTAAATGAAATTAACAAGTCATAGTAATTACAAATTACCAACTGCAGGCAGCCCTTTAGTGACGAAAGACTGGTCAGAGTTCCGGAAGGGCGAGCTGGTGTCGTACTTAAGCCATACCAACATTTACACTCACAACATGTATGCACTGCGATATGCCTTCTGTGAACTACTTAACCTTCTCAATGTGGTAAGTTATTTTCTTTGTAAATCCTAATTTCTTAAAATTATTTGAAACAATTGTTAAACCCATATTCAATAGGACTTTAATGTTTCGCATGTATTCAAATAAACTTAGTTTATTAATATCTAGTTTTTAGTACTAAAAATTTACGTAGTTGCAAAAAACTCCACAGGTTGGCCAGATATTCCTCCTAGACATTTTCCTGGGCGGAGCTTTCAGAAACTATGGCGCCGCAGTGGCTGCATTCACACACACGCCGCGTTTACCCGCTAACATGATAGATTTCGCCGCCGTCAACCCAATGGACCAATACTTCCCAAAACTAACTAAATGTTGGCTTAGAAACTATGGACCCAGTGGCTCCCTTCAACTCAAAGACCGCCTCTGTGTATTACCCCTCAATATAGTCAATGAGAAAATATTTGTTATCCTGTGGTTCTGGCTAATTTTCCTAGCTCTTATATCATCATTAGCAGTTCTTTTCCGGATATTTGTGTTGTGCTTTCCTCCACTTCGCACTGCACTTGTCATGGCCCAGTTGAGGTATGTTAAAAGAAGTATTGTTTCAAGGATCACAAGACGTTTTGGGTTTGGTGACTGGTTCATCTTATATTTGCTTGGTTGCAACATGAATCCCATAATGTATAGAGAGTTGATCGTAGAGCTGTCAAAAGAATTGGATCATAAAACTGTGATGGTCTGATGATGTATCAATATTATTTAGAGGTGCAAAATTAATCACCTTGAATAAGTACACTAATGTATGAAGACTGATTGATTATAAATGACAATAAATAGTATTTAATTAACAATTATTTGATGAAAGTAAATTGTAGTTATTTTAATATTAGATCTAATTGTCTTAGTAAGAATGTAAACATACCTATAAATAATAATAATCTAGGCAAATAGTGTTTTCACTGTATTACTTACAGTTCATAGTATAGTAATTTCATCAAATAATTATCTAATATTTTAGAAAGAAAGAAAAATTTTAGTTCAGTAGGCATGCCTATTTCTTTTTTTGTTTTCACTAACATGTCCAGACAATCATTAAAAATTGTTGTATCTTTTGTTTAATTATATGATAATTATATATCATTTGTTATGGCATGAACAGGTAACTATTGTATGTAATAATTACATAATATTCCACATATTATATTTCTATAAAGCTTAATTTAGTTTTAGTTGAAGGGTTTATAATCTAAGTCTATTTTACTTGTGGATATGGTCATACCGAGACCATAAATTTTTTATGATCACTTCTCTTGTTATACAAATTGCAATACTCCTTAACTTTAATATTAACTCACAATTGCAAATCTAAATGTTTATTATGGTGTTCTGGCTCTAAATAGCACAGATTGGTGATTGTTTGCCATAAATAATGTGTATGATTTTCACCATGTATCATAATCTCATTTAAATATGTTTTGCCTTCATAATTAATAGTTTTACTATGGTAAAATTAAGATATATGGTATGATTGTTACAATTTCATTATTATTAAAAATTTTGTTAATTTAGTTGTGAATATTTTGGGGCTGCACACAAGAGACATCAATTGATTTTTAAGTGTTGTTAAAGTTGAAGCTGCTGTTTTGCGATAGCAATTTGGTGATAAGATTGGTATGATGTCTCTTGAGTCTGCCGGTATAAGTTATTTGCAATACTGTTATAATTAATAAACAATGTTTATTCTGGTACTCTCCCATCTTTTATTTTATGAGAATATTGTCTGATGTGTGTTGGATCTGAGCAGGGGGTCATTCGGCTAATGGAAATGCTTTGGAAAATGCTAACGCTTTAGATTTTATTTTGTTATTTCAGACCACCGAAGGTTTTCAAATACCTCACGCTCATTTTTTTTTAATATTGTTATTACCAATGCAAAAGTAAAAAAAAGAGCACGAAGCATTTGAAATCCTTAGGCTGCCAGAAATAACAAAATGAAATCATAAGCGTTAGCATTTCCCAAAGAATTTCTGTTAGGTGAATGGCCCCGAGGTGTAGTTTGGGACATGGGACTATGTAAGTATATTTTGTAAGTAAAAATATTCAAATACTCATAGAATTAATTAGTTTTTATTGAAAATGATAGGTGCTATAATAAACCACTCACATGAACTTCCCGAAATAAATCATTGTCTCACAATAACACCCTCAGTCTTGCACTGGCTTTTTATAACACTAAAAATATTAACCAGAGCAGCCTCTACACCCACAATGAACACACTCAACGATTCTTCCCTCTTCCAGTTTACTCTTTGGTACTCTACAAATGCAATTTGTAGCAAAGTTTGTGTCCCTTGTTTGTATACACCTTAAACAGCACAGGTTTTCATAGCCAGTCTTCTTCCATTTGGCTATGAGGTTAGCATCGGCTATCTTCTCGTCTAAACAATACTGATACAGTTCTCTGCTAATAGCTTTTCGTCTGTAAAACAGATCGTAAATGTAACGTGATTTTTGATGATGAATCTTGAATATTGGCCATAGGGATTCTTGTTTACGTTTACCTTCGTGAGGCTCGGTTTCAGCTGAAATTATAGAGAAAAAATTTTGAATATTCAATAATTACAAGTTTTGAGGCAAGTCCATCGGTGCTAAATGAATACCTTCTCGCATTTTCTGTTCTAATTCTTCAAGTGTAGGTTCTATTAGCTCCCAACCTTCTGGGGGCGATTTTCTGCTTCGTCGTACTTTTGGCATTGTAAATAGGAATAGATTACAAAATAATAAACTATTTTATTGTTAATTGGAAAATAACATGAAGTCGACGCGACGTTTTGACAAAATGGTGACAGTGACAGGTTGAACAATGACGTTTTACTTACCAACATTTTTATGGCAAAGGATAGATAGTATTATACAGCCTAGTCTTTATGGTCGCCAGTTGACATTATTAGCGATATTTTTATTAAACTTAACCAAGATCAAGTACGTTTTAAAGATTTTACCAATTATCGACTTACATTAAAACGTGGGATACAAACCCACTCCGTTTTTATTCAACACTAGTGGGCCGCCCTCGCTTCGCTTCGGTGTAGAGCTGTAGTGTAGACTACAGTTACTGTTCTCAGGCTTGTATTATGACTTTCTTCATATACTAATTATAAACCTTCGTGAAAATTAGATATGATTACTAATATCATAAGACTGGAGTTTGTTTTTTTTATTGAACGCGTTAATCTCGGAAAATACTTGTCTGATTTGAAAAATTACTTTTATGTTGGATAGTAAAAACGGGTAAAAAATAATATTCCATTTGTGAGTTTCCGTTGCGTGCACTGGATAAACGGATAAAGTTACAAAAAAATTATGTATGACGGAATATTTCCCCATTAAAATTTCTGTAAAAAAGTTGGAGACCGCATATCTTTTAAGTTTGACTCGGTATAACTCACATTGCATAGAAACCGCAGTGGACCTCTTGTTGTGACATAACTGTAATAGTCAGACATGGTATCGCGAACTGTTTTTAGGGTTCCGTAGCCAAATGGCAAAAAACGGAACCCTTATGGATTTGTCATGTTTGCATTTCTATCTGTCCACGCGTAGTCACTTTTTTTTACATGTTAATGTCCTCTGTAAAACTTTAATACATCACTTTGCTATACTGTCAATGAATTCTGCAGCGTAACCGATATAAGGCATTTATTTTTACACGTTGGGTTACATTATCTAAATTTTCATACGGAACCATAACTTTTATAAAAATACTCTATAGCCTATGTTCATTAGGGATAATTTATAATTCTAAAGTGAAAGAATTTTTCAAATGGTCCAGTAGTTTCGGAGCCTTTTCACAATACAAACAAACAATCAGGTCTTTCCCCATTATAATATTAGTATAGATTGTTGTATAAATCAATATACTTGCTCTTTTTTCTTGGCCTGTTATTACAATACCATTTTTCTTTGTTTTTTTCATCTATATTATTTTAATGTGTTTCGTAACTTTCTCTCCTTTCATCACCATGAAACGGTCTTATTTTGTAAGTAAAATGTTGTTATTCTTCTTCACGTTTTCACAGCATCCGGCGCGATTGTCTAACTCTTGTTAGACCTACTAACTAACTAACCTAGAGATTCACCGTCACAATTCCGATTTCTACATCATTTCCATTCACCCGAGGAAACCGATGGCGCAGGTGATTAGCGCGTTTAGCTTGCGATTATTCAAGTTAAGTAATTTTTGCAATGGATCGACCATTGGATGACCAAAAAAATATTATCTAGAACTCCTCCGTGCTTCGGAAGGCACGTTAAGCCGTTGACTTCGGCTGCACATGTACAGCCTTATTCATAAAAATCCTCTAAAATAGGTTTAAAACACTGGTATCGATTCTGGCATGATTCTCTAAAATAAACTTAAATTTGACAACAGTGTATCCTTGTCATTCTCTACATAGAATGAAAGGGAGAGACTGATATTAAATTTAGTTTTAAGTTTAGAGAATCGTGCCAGAATTGACACCACTATTTAGTTAAAATGCTCATTAGTACTAATAAACCTTTTATAAAATTCTCTATTCATAAACGTTCAATAAACCCTTTATAGCTATGTTCTCGTTATAAGACACTAGCGTTGTTATGTTGTCGTTCTGATGAATCCATAAATGTAAATGGCAAAACCACTGGTATCCACGGCAAAAAAAATTACAACGTCACTAGGGATGATGACTAATTTTTTTTTCTTCGTTTATCAGGTAGATTATCAAAAAGTATTGGACACGTATTTTTTCTTTTTTCACATAATATAAAATTTGCAGAGATATATTGATTTGAAAAGTCGCATGACGTCACGTTTGAGTACACTTGTAAGTGAAAATTCACTCAAAAGTGACGTCACGAGCCCCTACTCCCAAACTTTGACGCGCTATAACTTTGTCATTTTTTGGTGGATTGCCCAAAGAAAAAATACGTGTCCAGTATTTTTTGATCATCTAACTGATGGATTAAATAGAATTTCGTTTACTGTACCCCGTCATCACCCCTATTATTGCTTGTTTCGTGCAGAGGTTTTTCGTGTTATTTTTGCGAAGAAAATTGAACTCTGGCATTTTTATGTATGTATCAGAGTGGCGAGCAATCGCGCACTACTCTGGCACACTGGCACCTCAACGTTGGTTGAGACATACCATGGATTTTTCCCCATCATCTTGAATCTAAAATATTACAAAGATATTTAAAAAGTTCATAGGTATATTAAAATGCGGGATATGTATTCGTAAACGTGCTAACTTCACGACGACCCCAACATCTTATAGCGGTTAACACCTGTAACTCTGGTGACGTTCCTCAACCTCTGGAGTCCAGTTGCAAGACTTGCCTGACGAGATCAAATATAAGGGCCATGGTATTTTTTGCTGAAACGGTATCGTCGTTTGAACTTTACATCTGGTAAAGAAATCGGATCACATCTCTCCTGGTAAATCTTTCCACGACGTGAAATAACATTTTCTGCTCGATCAGTAGCATGTAATGCTTGCAGAGTTTGCATAGCTAACGATATCACCAAATAATTTTATGAAAAAGTATCTCTACTTCACAGATCCTTGTCATGGACGTATAAAAAAAAATTTCAACGTCCTTGCTCCTTGTAAATAACCATATGAACGAACGAACGACGACAACAAACTTTAACAAACAAACCTCAAAACAAATGGTTCGGACGCAAAAAAAAATCAGCTGTTGTACAATTGTCGGCCATATTTCTCTGTATTAAAGGTTTATAGTAGGGTCGACCCAGTTAAAAGTTACGAAGCCGCTATTGAATATTTACAAAGCTTTTTAGCGTTATTTGGCCTTTATGAATAATGCTTTTCGGGATTCTCATTATAACAAGCTAATAAACCTATTTTATCTATTTATGAATAAGACAGGTAGTCTTTAGCACCCACCGATCCGCACTGGGTCCGCGTAGTGGGTCATGACCTCCCTATTCCATTCATAGGTGAGGCCTGTGCCCCTGGACATTGAAAGGCTGATGGTCCGCATGTGGAACTCTCACCCAGAATCAGGGCCGGATTTAGGATTGTGGAGGCCCCGGGCCACTTAGGATTTGTATGCTTGTTGACCCATCGAAATGTTGTTATTTCTAAAGCTGTTTTGGAGGCCCCTGGGCCACAGCCCCACCTGCCTTGTCCTAAATTCGGCCCTGCAGCCATTAAGCGATTGGGATACTCCCTCAAGATGGGTAGTGAATTGGAAGTGCTTACCAGGGCCATTTGAGATTTTGATATTTCACTGATTGCCTGATTGGAGTGAACAAATATAGATCAATGATTTCTGTTATTTAAGATTAATATAATCAAATAATCATGTATGTTAGATGTACAAGGTACTGTAGGCTGTAGGTAAAGGTAAATGAGCAAAAAAAAATATCAAAGGAAAAGATGTTTTATACCAGTGTTTACTAGTTGGAATTTGAAAGATTTTCTTTTCCTAAGTCTCTATTGTGGGGGCCCCCCGTTTGTGGAGGCCCCGGGGCTTTCGCCCCGGTTGCCGTCCCCTAAATCCGGCAGTGCCCAGAATATATGAATAAGGCTCGTTCTCTTAATCTCTTAACTAACGATAATTATTATTCCTTTTCTTACAACGTGTAGGTTTTTCGTAAAAGATTGCTGCTTAGAAATAAGCCCGCCCATTAATTATCTTACTGTAATTTGTGTGTCCTGTATGGTTTTTACTGCCTTCGTAAATAAATGAGAGGATAAATATGCCACCGTCGCCCATGGGCTTGAGCAACAACTATAGCTATGCTTCTACCAATCTTGAAATACTCTGTGTAAGCCTCGCTTGAAGAGATCTGTTTTATAACGGAATACAGTGCGTGGAAGAGAGCTCATGCCATATAGCTTTATTGACGACCGTGGAAGAAGAGACCTCTCGAAACGAAGAGAACTTGCATACCGACTTCGGGGCATCAACTCGAACATTTCCTTAGAGCCGAAATCGTTATTGTTATTTCACTGTGGTCTCCACTAAGATGAAGGTTGCTTCCTCCAGACGGGCGCTCCAATTTGACGGAAATTCTGCTGCCCCTGCCTCTCTCTGTGGCCACGAAGGAGTTGAGGGTGAATAAAGTCTGACACCGTGGGCCACTTTGCAAAAACTAATTATGATAAATTATACATGACTCTAATGAAAGGGTGTTTTACATAGTTATATATAAATACAGTGGCGGACTAAGTCCGTCAGAGGCCCGGGGCGGCAAAGCTGAAAGAGGCCCCCAGCTTTAAAAAAAAATGTAGATTCTTATGTTTATTTCGTTAAAACCAGTCTTGTCAAATCCACCATAATTTTGTATCAGTTTGTCAACTGCTACAGCCAGAGCGTCATCTGAAGCCTCTAGCATAAACTTTGTTTCAATAATTTGGAAAATATTTTTGATTTGTTTAAAAGCCCAATTCGAAAATTCTTGTATAAAGCGGTCTATGCATTCATACATTGACCGACGTATTTCTCCTTGAATTGATAATCCAGCATCATGTGCTGATTCACCCGGCATCTTCTTTTTACTTTCACTATTCCTGGTTTCTTGATGTTGATGAACCACCTAAATACTTATTCAAGGCGTTTAGTTTGGTGATTCCTGTATCCAGAGTCATTTTTGGAGACCGCAAATATTGTTAGACTTAAATAGAATGTAGTGAATGTAAATGTACGCGTACAAGAGTAAAATATTTGCACTTCATTCATTCAGAGCTTCCTGAGGAAGTACCCGCTACAAAGACGGGAATTCCCCCAGCGTATTGGACGCGTTCAGCATAGTTAAAAAAATATTAGTAAAAAGTCTAGAT